CCTCCCAGACCTCCCCTATCTTTCCCGCCAGTCTCCATCGCAACCCCCCATCTTTCCCGACCCTACAGGCCGGTCTCCATCCCTCACTCCCCGAGCCTCCTTCCTCCCACTGCGTACCTCCCCTCTCCCTCCCTGAACCTCCTCCTGAAGCTCCCGGCGTGGAATAAAGGACAAACCCGGAAGAGAGAGAGAGAGAGAGAGAGAGAGAGACCGTCTCCCCGAACCTCGTTCCTCACACTGCGTGCCTCCCCCCTCCCCCCCGAAAGTTCAAAAGATTGGAGCACGATAACAGTATACTACAAAGGATCAACAACAACAACAAATCAATCAATCAATCTCCCCGAACCTCCTATCCCCCCATCTTTCCCTCTTCCCCCCCATTTCCCCGAACTTCCCCCCTCCCTATCTCCCCGAACCTCGTTCCTCCCACTGCACGCCTTCCCCCTCCCTCTCCTATCTCCTCCTGGACATCCCTATCTTTCCTGCCAGTCTCCATCCCAACTCCGTATCCCCTATCTTTCCCGCCAGTCTCCATCCCAATCCCCCATCTTTCCCGACCCTACCCGCCGGTCTCCATCCCTCACTCCCTGAGCCTCCTTCCTCCCACTGCGTACCTCCCCTCTCCCTCCCAGAACCTCCTCCTGAAGCTCCTGCCGTGGAAGAAAGGACAAAGCCGGAAGAGAGAGAGAGAGAGAGAGAGAGAGAGAGAGAGAGAGAGTGACCTACTGGACGTTGGCGGCGGCTGGCTGTTTCGTCGGCGATGGCGGCTTCCTCGTGGATGGCTGCGGGGCTGCAGGGGGGACGTGACGGCAGCAGCTGGCGGCTTCCGAACAGCGCGCCCACGAGATTAAAAAACGGCCAGTTTGAAAGTGCCGGCCCGCCTCCCGCCACCCCACCTGAGTCTGCACAGACTGTGGTGGGTCCGGCCTTCGACCGATGTCTGGTAGGGCGAAAAGACACACAAAAATCGGCCCAGTAATTTTCCGGGGCCGCCGAGGACCCGAAAATGTCCTTGGCGGCCCCTTTTTTTTTCTGATTTTTTGTTGGGGGGCCCGGTTCCGGACGTGCAGGACCGGACACCGGACCCCCACATAATGTTTGGGGGTGTCTGGAAAGCGGTCCGGACGTCTGGTCGGTTACCATGGTTGTGACGATGTGTTGAGGAAATTTAAATGTTGTGCGACTTTGGTTTGTGGAGTGCGCACCAGAAGGAAAAAGCGCGCTCTCTTTGGCAGCGTAATTTTTGAATGTAGTCATCTGCAGGACTTGCCTGCCTTGCTGCCCATCTGCAGGACTTGCCTGCTGCGCTCTCTGCTTATGTGGCTGCTTTGTTGGTGTTGCCTTGTGCTTCGCTGCGCTGTTGCCGCCCCCGTTGCTGGTGTTGGCTTGTGCTTCGCTGCACTGATGCCTTGCTGCCCATCTCCAGGACCTGCCTTCTGCGTTCTCTGCTTGTGTGCCATGTTGTATGGCTGCGTTGTTGGTGTTGCCTTGCGCTTCGCTGTGCTGGCGTTGGCTTGTGCTTCCCTGTGCTGCTGCCTTGCTGCCCATCTGCAGAACTTGCCTTCTGCGTTCTCTGCTTGTGTGCAGTGTCGTGTGGCTGCTTTGTTGGTGTCGCCTTGTGCTTCGCCTCGTTGTTGTCGCGCCCGTCGTTCGCTTGCCGCGGTGTCTAAACAGGTTGGTTGTTGGCGTTGTGCAGCTGGGTTGCTACGGCAGCGTTGCCTCATGCTGCTGAGTTGTTGCCTGCTGCTGTGTTCTGCTTGTGGACAGTCTGACTTTGACAAGGAGGGGGCACAAAGGGTTTGGGGATTCCGCAGATTGTCGCGGGTTCAGCCTTC